GGAGTTGACTCGGGTAGGAGTTGACTCGGGTAGGAGTTGACTCGGGTAGGAGTTGACTCGGGGTAGGAGTTGACTCGGGTAGGAGTTGACTCGGGTAGGAGTTGACTCGGGTAGGAGTTGACTCGGGTAGGAGTTGACTCGGGTAGGAGTTGACTCGGGTAGGAGTTGACTCGGGGTAGGAGTTGACTCGGGTAGGAGTTGACTCGGGTAGGAGTTGACTCGGGTAGGAGTTGACTCGGGTAGGAGTTGACTCGGGTAGGAGTTGACTCGGGTAGGAGTTGACTCGGGTAGGAGTTGACTCAAGTACGAGTTGACTCGAGTACGAGTTGACTACGGTATTAGTTAACTCGGGTATGAGTTAACTCCGGTAGGAGTTGACTCGGGTAGGAGTTGACTCGGGTAGGAGTTGACTCGGGTAGGAGTTGACTCGGGAAGGAGTTGACTCGAGTACGAGTTGACTCGAGTACGAGTTGACTCGAGTACGAGTTGACTCGAGTACGAGTGGACTCGAGTACGAGTTGACTCGAGTAAGATTTGACTCGAGTAAGAGTTGACTCGAGTACGAGTTGACTCGAGTACGAGTTGACTCGAGTACGAGTTGACTCGAGTACGAGTTGACTCGAGTACGAGTTGACTCGAGTACGAGTTGACTCGAGTACGAGTTGACTCGAGTACGAGTTGACCCAAAAATCGATTTGTAGAGGGCTACCCGCCTACATAGTTAGGCCTACTCGGCGTTAGTCCCATAAATGTGACTGAAATACTGGACTACCGCCGTATTATAAGTCACAAAGCAACGTACGGCCTGTGCGCGGAGCATCCCATTGCTAGATTTCATTTACATACCTCATACATTCAGCGGAGCAACTATAGAATGCAGGGCCACGCCGGAGCAAGGGGTTTTTTTTCTGCTTGGAGGCCTGGATCAAGGCCGGCGATGTGAGGATAGGAGTTATAGGCTACAATATGATAATATGCAAACCTGCCAAAATTGTTAAGTACAGCGAATGCAGTTGTCTTCTCATCAATGATCGGAAGGGAGGGCGCGCTTGTAAATGTGTCGGGGCACGGAGCCACGGAGGCACGGAGTCGCAGAGACGCGGGGCACTGCCACTGGAGTCGCGGAGTCGCAGAGACGCGCGCCACCGATAGAGGGCGCAATTCTCGGCGCCACCGATAGAGGGCACAATTCTCAGCGGTATTTTTGTGAGAACGAAGCATCCACATCCATTTTTAATTTCCTCGCAAAGGAAGGGAGGAGGGCGACGCTGGAGTCATGGAGTCGCGGAGGCGCGGGGCACTGGAGTCGCGGAGTCACAGAGACGCGGTGCACTGCCACTTGAGTCGCGGAGTCGCAGAGACGCGCGCCGATAGAGGGCGCAATTCTCGGAGGTAGGTCGACTGCGGCTCCACGCCTCCACGCAGCCATATGGAGGCGCTGATGTAGAGTGTAGTGGCCCTGCATTCTATAGTTGTACCCATTCAGCAGTCATTTACGAAGCCTAATGATCGACTTGAAACAGACCACAAAAAAAAAATGTGAAAAATCTTGACGATTTCGGTGGCTTGTCTGTAAAATAAATGCCAGTTCCAACGGCTGTCGTCCATTTTGTTTTCTAATTATGTAAATGTATGCATCACGTGATGACATCGAAAAAAATCTGCGCGCGCGATGTATGTTGGTACCACAACACTTTCAGGCGCCGCAAGTGAGTTCAATTCTCGTTGTCTTGCTTTCCGCGACAACGCACCAGACGAAAAATTGAACTCACTTGCGGCGCCTAAAAGCGGTGTGGTACCCACATACATCGCGCATGCAGATTTTTTTCGATGTCATCACGTGATGCATACATTTACATAATTAGCAAACAAAATGGACAACAGCCGTTGGAACTGGCGTTTTTTTACGGACAAGCCACCGAAATCATCAAGATTTTTCACATTTTTTTTTGGTGGTCTGTTTCAAGTCGATCGTTAGGCTTCGAAAATTACTGCTAAATGTATGAGGTATGTAAATGACTCTGGGGTGGGATATTTACGGAAGTGTATTTAGGACATGACCAAAAAAAAATGTCCGGCCCTCTATTTTGCCCGGGCGGATTACTATTTCGCCCGGGTGGATTACTAATTCGCCCGGGCGGATTACTATTTCGCCCGGGTGGATTACTAATTCGCCCGGGCGAATTATTATTTCGCTCAGGCGGATTACTAATTCGCCTGGGCGAATTATTATTTCGCTCAGGCGGATTACTAATTCGCCTGGGCGAATTACTATGTCGCCCGGACGGATTACTAATTCGCCCTGGCGAATTAGCAATCTGCCCTGGCAAATTAGTAGTCTGCCCGGGCGAATTAGTAATCCGCTGGGCATGCCTGGCGGAATAGTAATCTGCCCGGGCGGAATAGTAATCCGCCCGGGCGAAATGTTAATCCGCCCGGGCGAAATGCTAATCCGCCCGGGCGAAATGCTTATCCGCCCGGGCGAAATGCTAATCCGCCCGGGCGAAATACTAATCCGCCCGGGCGAAATACTAATCCGCCCGGGCGAAATAGTAATCCGCCCGGGCGAAATAGTAATCCGCCCGGGCGAAATAGTAATCCGCCCGGGGGAAATAGTAATTTGCCCGGGCGAAATAGTAATCCGCCCGGGCGAAGTAGTGGGCCTAAAAAATATTTTCGGTCATGTCCTAAATACGCTTCTGTAGATATTAGAGGTGAAAATGAACAATTTTGGAGAGGCCATTTTTTTAGGGTCTCTTGCTACCACATTCTAACGAACAGGTTTTGCCTCCAGTGCTTACATGTGAATGAATATATTCATTATGAGCATGTCAGCTGGAGTTACTCAAGCTAGGAGTGACCAACTCGGAGTCAGACTAAGCAAGGACAAGGTTAGCCCCATAAATTGGCCTATTTACTGGACTGCCTCCGTAAACATAGGCCACACATCCCCATTAGCCCAGGTTGGACGAAATCTTCATTGCATTACAACTAACGTCCAGGATGAGAATTCTCTACATAAGACCACCCAAAATTTTGACCAGATTTTTGTTACGTTTTACCTCGTTACAGAAGCTAATTTCACGCCTACATTTTCTATGTGTCCTTACCTATTGGGCCGCTGGGTTCAGGAATTCCATATGTGATGCTGACCGACATTAATCAGGAAAATAAACTCTAAAGCAGCGTTAAAGGGAATGTACATCATTGGCTTATGCTTTAATTTTCAGAAATGAACTATTTGAGGGGTTAGTATAACAGATCAAATTATTGTTACACTGACATGTTTGAAGTTTTGTTTTCGAAAATGCTGGAAAAACCAAGAAAAACACAAATGTTCAAGTAGTCTGGTTGCCTGACTCCACTGAAAATGAAATGGATCAATTTACAGATGCCGGAAAATTGTACGCTAAGGGAACCAGTCTAGCTGACCTGCACCTATTCATGAACATAAAACCAATTAGCAAACAAAATTGGACTGAAAAAATGGTAAATTTGGAGCAGTAGTGAAAAATAGTTAGGTTTTTCCTACGGTGGTCGGCCGACCACCGTTGGAAATGTAAACAAAAATACAATTTTCTTGAAAATGACTTCACACCAGGTGCCATAATTTTACAGGATGCTTTAGACTGTCATTTACCAACATCCTGTAAGGTACAAAATGTATTTCGTAAAAACTTGGTAATATTATTTTTCGATGTTTGCAAATGTTGTATAATCCCTTTAAACTAGTACGTGTTTGTAGTCTCTTTTCATCAGTTTATTCCCAGAGTCGTACGTCATGTACAATGTACGTACAAAAGCGCGCACGCACGCTAGCGCCCTCATTTGTTTAGTTTTGGTTGGAACCATGACGTCACTCCAGCCAAACGATGTCACAAAAACGCTCAGCCAATGACCAAAGCCGAAACGTGTTTCTGGTAACTGGCGCGCAAACACGCTCGGTCATTGGATTAGCGACCGCGCCTTCAAGTTAGTGCGCGTGCGTATGAGTGTGGTTACTAAGCAAATCGCGCGTGCGCACTGCATATTCATGCTGCATAGTCTGGCCCCCGGACCAGACGTGATATGAGCGTCGAGAATAATTGTCCGGTCTAGGGAACCAGACTACACGCAACACACAGACGTACAACATGTACGACTCGGCGGTGAGAAACTGATGAAAAGAGTCTACAAACACGTACAAGTTTAACGTTGCTTTCAAGTTTATTTTCCAGATTAAGGTCGGTCAGCATCGCATATGGAATTTCTGAACCCAGCGGCCCAATAGATAAGGCTCCATAGAATACTACAACGTAAAAAATAGCTTCTCCAACAAGGTAAAAATATTGAAAATACTGGTCATAAATTTTTTCGCCCGGTTTTGAGCACTTTATACCCTGGACTCCCTCCGTTACGTAGGGAGGAAAGGGGGTCCACCTGGGCTAACATCCCCATGTACAAAAATGTGTCGCACTTTGCCAAATTTTGATTTTCACATTTAAGCTTAGTTTGCAGGGTTTTTTGCTTTAGAAATTAGAAGCATACTCACCCTCTTTATAGGCTAATCAGAAAGAAGTGCTGCCTTTTTCAGATGTCTAATTTTTCGTGAAATTTCCAGATTCATTTGCACACGTTTGCGTATCAAAATTTCAACATGAAATTTCACTAAAAATTAGCCATCTGAAAAAGGCAGCACTTTCTGATTAGCCTATAATTTATATATAAAGAGGGTGAGTATGCTTCTAAAGCAAAAAAAAAAAACCTGCAAACTAAGCCTAAATGTGAAAATCAAAATTTGGCAAAGTGCGACACGTTTTTGTACATGTGGATGTGTACTCCTAGAACTATGAGGCTCCTCGTGAGCCTCATAGTACTCATAGTTCTAGGAGTAGTGGATGTGTGGCCTATGTTTACGGAGTCGGAGGCAGTCTAGTAAATACTAAATAGGCCACATTTAATGATTTATGAGGCTAGGACAAGGTGGAACAAACATACAACTTGAACTTTTTACAACTTACAAGCACAGCTTACCGGAGAAAATCAAGTGAGGCCTAGATTTCGCACTAAAAGTTGGTGCATGATAACTTAGGAATGTTGCTGTATCTGTGTATCGATCTTTGCCGATATAATGAAACGTGTATCGATATAAATAATCAAAACCGCGAGAGAAAGGAGTCGCCGCGTTTATTTCGAACACAATTAGTGAAGTGCGCACTCAAGAGTTACAGGTGCGACTTGCTTAAAGATCGGACATTCCGCTGAAACAGGAAGTATTGACGGGGAAGGGCGCTCCTAGCGTCAGGTAGGTTTGCTCCATGCAACGCGCGTGATAACTTGTGCGAAGCCGCTCTAATTCTACCTCCATGGTAAAATCATGCAGTTTATTCTAATAGCACCACCACTGATCTCTATATAAAGACTGGATAGCGGATATGCATACAACATTCACACAGCAGACTTTGCATATTGACCAATTCGCCCCCGGTCTCACGAAGATGGCCGCGTATAATACGAACGTTCTACGCGTAAATACGCGCGCATTGTATCAACAGTTGACGCGCATTTTGGTCACGTACACATATTATGATGTTCTAAAAGGAACACATTTCCGTAGTGATTATTATTTCAAAAACGCCGAAAAAGTGATTTGCGGCATTATAAAAGTAACCACTACGTTAGAAAAATTGTAGTAAACCTTGGTCAGTTGGTCAGTGCTGGTAGCCAAAATATAAGTCAAGTGAGCCGCGACGTTACAAAAGAAATCAAGCTGTCTATAAAGACGGCAACTTGTCCTTTGTAGATCACCAGCCGGTCTCACCAATATGGCGTCAAATTCGTACATTGTGCAGCTCTTTATTAGCTATCCAGTCTTTATATAGAGATCAGTGAGCACCACTCATGTGCTTCACCAAATGCCTAAAAAGTGCAGTATCACATTTCATATTTATATTAACAAATTGGAAATGATATGAATATTATCGAGAAGGCGTGGACGAATCGGATCGCGAAAACATAGCTTGAGCAACTACAGCTCTAATGCCTATCTACTCATGCCAAGAACTGTCCGGTGCCAAATAGTGTGCGTTATATAACTGACATACAGATCCTAGTCATTTGATTGGTGGAACTCACATCACGTGACATTCGTTATTGCTCCCATTCACGCCGCAGCTCAAAAAGTACTATCCGCCCATGGGGAATGGAAAATACTATTCAACAGTTAGGATCATGACGCGGTATTTGTGTGCAAATGCATGCTGGTGAGCGCGTTCAGCGTTGCGCGTAGCGCGTGTTGTTCCAAAGAGCCAGCGCTACAGCGTTGGGTTCAAACATTTTCGTGAAGGGGTGGTTTGGAAGAGAGAAATACATTTTCCTCCAGTTTTGTATTGAAAAAAAAAAGTTCAAATATATTAAATGACAAGGATCTATATGTCAGTTATATAAAACAAATATTGAGTGGCTTTTAATTGTGAAATGGGAGGAATATTATCGCTCGGTAAAATCTGGACTTTTCCAGTTCACTCGGCTTCGCCTCGTGAAATGGAAAAGTCCAGATTTTACCTTGCGATAATATTCCTCCCATTCCACGCTGTGCCACTCAATATTTGTATACTATTCAACAGTTAGGATCATGACGCGGTATTTGTGTGCAAATGCATGGTGTTGTGCGCGTTCAGCGTTGCGCGTAGCGCGTATTGTTCCAAAGAGCCAGTGCTACAGCATTGGGTTCAAATAATAATAATACTAATATAGTGCTTATATAGCGCTTTATACCAAAGGTCTTAAAGCGCTTCACAATTTTTACCCCTGTTCGTCAGGCCATGAGACCAGTTTTTTCAGCAGCTCAAGATCAGCGCAATCTGGCCTCTACCTTCACAGGTACCCATTTATACTCCTGGATGGAGAGAGGCAATTGTAGTACAGTGTCTTGCCCAAGAACACAAGCACCATGTTCCCCGTCCGGGTTCGAACCCACGTACCGCGGCAAGTGAGCCGAACACCGTAACCATTGGACCACAGCGCTCCACAAACATTTTCATGAAGGGGTAGTTTGGAAGAGAGAAATACATTTTCCTCCAGTTTTGTATTGAAATAAAAGTTCAAATTTATCAAATGACAAGGATCTATATGTCATTTATATAAAACAAAATATTGAGTGCGAGTGGCTTTAAATTTTGAAATGGGAGGAATATTATCGCTCGGTAAAATCTGGACTTTTCCAGTTCACTCGGCTTCGCCTCGTGAAATGGAAAAGTCCAGATTTTACCTTGCGATAATATTCCTCCCATTCCACGCTGTGCCACTCAATATTTGTATACTAATTAGCATAATGCCATCTGATTGGTCATGCGTCTATGACGTCACATTGTTTACGGAAGCTTGCCAAATAGTGTCCGCGCTTAGCGTGCATCCCATGCGTGCCAGTTGCTGCCGAGCTGTCAAGACCGTATGGATAAGATCTCTTTTCACCTGAATTTGCTTTTTACAATCTGTTTTAACGTTTTCCTTATTATCTCTGATTATTAAGGATTGGTATAATAATTTGACTAACTTAATTTAACTCATGTAATACATGTATTTGTGCAAAATCTTTGTGTGTTTTTTCGTGTCATCGAGTACCTGTTTGAAAACACGAGCACTACGTACGTCATATACGTACTTTAGGCCTAACGTTATAGTGCGTCACAACGTTATATTAATGTGTTTGAACATATTATTGAAGAGAATACGTGCTAAAAGCTGGGAGTCTAAAGTAAAAACATTCCTGTGAAATACTGGCTGTCCCTTAATGCCTGCTCTCCGATTCCTCCTGCCAAATGCTGTCCGATTCCCCCTGCCAAATACTGTCTTATTTTTCCTGCCAAACACTGTCCGATTCCCCCTGCCAAACACTCTCCGGCGATTTTCCTGCCCGAACTGTCCGATTCCCCCTGCCATATACTATCCGATTCCCCCTGCTAAATACTGTCCTATTTTTCCTGCCAAATACATGTATTGTCCGATTCCCCCTGCCAAATACTGTCCGATTTTCCTGCCAAATACTGTCCAATTCCTCATGCCAAATACTGTCCGATTTTCCCGTCAAATTTGTCCGATTTTTACTGCCAAATAATGTCTGAATAGTCCGATTCCCCAGCGTAATATTGTCCGATTTTCCAGCCCGTACGTAGTAAGGGTCCCCTATGCGCCCCATGCTCGAGTGCGCCCGGACACTATTTGGCACGTATTACGTGCCAAATAGCGTCTGGCGCCCACTGCGCGCGCTCAGCGGACACTATTTGGCATCGGACGGTTTTTGGCACGACACCGGGTCGTAAGAATCCCGACATCCCGGACTGTATACTCCCAGAGCATTACAAAAACGGTCCATTTTCCCTCTACTATCCCGACCCAGATTTCATAATTCATACCTCATACGATGCAGCAGACATTCATGAAGCCAATAATCGACTTCACACAGAACAACGAAGACTAAAATATGAAATTTTCGATGATTTTGGTGGCGATTCTTCAGAAACCATGAGAAAACGTCGCGCGACACTATTCTGCCGTCTGCCGTTGACCCCCCAAAAAACCACATTGGCCAACAAAAACATCAGATTTACCTCAAAACGGCCTCCAAATTACTAGATACGCCACCTGAGGTACAAGGGGAGATCGATGATTAAAATCGAGGTACTAAAGTTTGCTTACGATTCGGATGAAAAGTGAAATTTCCCGTTCAATTCCGAGAGCTCCCCTCGCGTAAGAGCAAATAACTGTAGTTCAGATGAAAAATAAGTTCATACACTCAAATAATTTCTTGAAATACTTTTATAAGTAAAGTTAAAACCCGCGTCCGGGTAGTAGCCATGCACGCACTAAAAGGCTGATGATTGGTTGGAATTTTGCTACCCTTTTGGGTAGCCAAAATCGAAATTATAAAGAAACACATAAGAATTTCTCGACAAGTTAGAAAAGGCCCTCGTGGCTTCGCCTCTCGCGTGTGTGGTCTCCATCTCCAGTCGCTTCCCAATTTCGCCGCTTTGAATGCGGGCAAGTTAAGCCACGATGGCCTTGGTGAAAGGCTAGAGTTACTCAAGCTGGCGAAACGAGTACTGCACGCTGTGCATAACAACACCAAGTACACGATATAAATCCATTTCTAGCCAATTGCGGTATAGAATCAGGATGCAGAAAGGAAGTTTTCTTTCCAGGTCTTACTATTGGAAACAAGGGTGGAAATAAAGTAAGCACTGGGGCCGAGGTTGCACCTTCGCTCATACCCCCCGCCCTGCAAACAGGACGCTGCAGCGCTCGGATACTGTGATGAGCTTCACAAAATCTTGTGAAGGAAGTGGCCTATGACCTATGTATAAAAGCATCTGGCTGCAGCTAGCTGTTCAAGACCGCAGTTAGACAATGTGCCCAAATACTATCCGAAAACTTCCCATAGAAATGCGCACATTCCACACCGGATGTGATTTCTATTTCATTGCGGACCATGTGGACAAAATTTTGAGCGTCGCATAATGCAATCCGACCGTTCGTGATTTAAACGGAACCTGAAAAGAGTGACGGGAATTGTAAATTTACAACACAGATAAGTTTTACAGAATTTCCCACGTCTTTTATTACGCTTTTCAACGAGAAAAAAAAACATCTCTAAACTGGAATAAAAGAGAAATGAATCAGTCTTAACGGCCGTTTCAAACCTTGCAGAGTCATGACCTTGATGACGCGCATGTCACTGGTCACGCAAAATCCAACCAATCAGAGCGTGAATTCATCAGAGTATCCAAGCGTCCTGTTTGCAGGGCGGGGGGTACGAGCGAATTTAAAGCCTTGCAGGGTCGTGGCCGTGATGACTTGCAGGTGATGACTTGCAGGTCACAGGTCACGCAAAATCTACGAACGGTCGGATTCATTATGTGACGATCAAAATTGTGTCCACATGGTCCGCAATGAAACAGAAATTACATCCGGTATGGAATGTGCGCAATTTTATGGGAAGTTTTCGGATAGCATTTGCGCACATAGTCTAACTGCGGTCTTGAACAGCTGCAGGCAGATGCTTTATCATGGGCCACTTCCTTCACAAGATTCTGTGAAGCTCATCAGAGTATCCCAGCGTCCTGGGCCAAGTTCAGGCAAGGACCATTAGTCGACTAGTGGTTGATTTGTGACGTACCTTACGCCTGCGCACTATAGCAACGTGCGAACGTCTCTAGTCAAACGCTGGTCAAAATGTCATCGCAAAACTTCTGGATCCTGGCTC